GCTCTCGATTTTGGTAAGAAGCTCATGGACTAAGTTGTAATGGTTTTGAGCTGAACCATGGACTAGAAAGTTGTGTACAGATATATTTATTATGGGTTACTAATAATAAGTTAATAATGAGAGAAAATAAAAATCATTGGTTTGATTAGGAGTTTTAGGGCATCTGATGCGAACTAGTGGTTATCAACTTAGATCAGATACAACATGTCTCATGGGTTTCATAGTTTCGTATATGCTTCTGTTCTGTTTCATAGTTTTGCTTTAATCTGCCAGTAATTTAATTCATCACTGATAGGCTAGGGGTGTCGAATGGACTGATCTGGCTTGATCCGGCTCTTTTTTTATTTGAATTTTATTATATAATAAAAAAACGGATTTTTCGGATTCGATCTGAAACCGGTTGGGTTAAACCCGATATCAAACTCGATGTCCGGATTGAGTTTGGTTCAAAAATCCAAAAAAAAAAAATTGGGCCTAAAAATTAAAATCTAAATGGGATTATTTTTTGGATGAGTTCGGATCGAATTTCGGATTTCGGACTTAACCCTTCATCGGTATCAGTAAGTATAAATGGTTCCAGAGGTTGGGACACACGAGAGTAGAGAATGTATGGTTCCGTACAAGGCGGCTGAAATCAGGACGAATCACGAATGCAATATATTACAATACTTAATTACTAGGTTATTTGATCGGTTGAAATCTAAGTAATAAGATTTGAGGAACAAACCCTTTTGGCCCACTTGAGCATAACAGTCGTTTTCGGCAACAAAATGGGTGATCGACACCTTGCTCGTGGTATCTGATATTTACGTATATATATTTCAGAGATTATTTGTTTTACGGATTATAATTTTCTTGAAATGCTAACCAAGCATTCCACTTTGTGTTTATGCCCTTTTGCCCTTTCTTTTTTTTCTTCAGTGGATGCTTCAAGATAATCTTCGAGGAAAAGAAGAAAAAAAAAGACAGAATCTATAGATTCACCTAAGACACAATCTAGGGTTTTGAGATGGTTGCCCTAAAACCATAGTATTGTTTGAAATTTTTAACTTCTACTACAATTCTTTGGTATTATTCCATGCAGAAGAACCAAACCGAAACGTAACCGAACTTGTGAGAAAATTGTATGTAATTTGGCGAACGAACAACAGAGAATCGAATTAATGGTTAGTAAAGAAGAGTAGTGGTCCATGGACCTGCAATATGGCTTTTGGGGGTTTTGGTCTGTCGTATTATTCTAATGTTCATAGCCGTGCTATCTTTTAAATTGTATATACATCTAATATTTATAATAATAGTGGCATTCATCTACGAGGCCGATGTTGATGTGTCCTTTTAAGCATCTCTAAGCATGATTTGCGTATCTTTGTGTGTATATATACGCGCACATAAAGACATATTGAATAGTTATTATATTTTGAAGTGAGATACTCTGTTCCTTGTAATTCCATTGGTTCTACTTAGTCATTGAATATTGCATTCTCAAAAAAAATTATTCTCTATCCACTCTCCAAGACCATGATATTATGCCTTTTTATTATACTTAAGTTTTCATTAGACATTAAATATTCGATTTGTAACTCAAATTTGGGCAGGTTAGTAGTAAGAAAACATTCAAAACATGATCTTACCTTGGGTTCAAATCTAAACATGGTGAGAGACATTCACTCAAATTTCTACGGTCTTCTAAAAGATCTAGTTGGGCCAAAGGTTTGATGAACTTATGGATTATATAAAAAAAATATATCGATTCTGTAGATAAGAAAAGTGGAAAATCGTTGGACTACTACTAAGTAACTGAATTTGAGTACAATCAAAGTGATATCGGTTAATTTCAATTCTCAAATCCCAATTTTTAAACATTTTAGTACAACACAATTGAAATTCTAATAAAAGGTTTAGGAGATTCGGTTTAACTATATCCAGACCAAAATTGTTGTAAAATATGGTTGATTATATGTGATTTTCTTATACGTGAATCGAAAACAAATTGAATATAAAATATATGTGAAAGCTGAATAAAACTGAAAATCTTTGAAACAAATGATTATATTTTAATAAAAATTTAGCATTCAAACCGAATCTCAACTAAAGTAAAATCTGATCTAACAATCGAATAGAAATATTTTTTCTAAAATTGGAAAATTTTGAGCTCCCCATGACATCAATATAGTTATGGTGGTAATTTATCACTAAATTACATGCATACACACACATACACACACACACACACACAATTAGAACAAGATCTAAATACCTTTATAAATATGTTTATACATTAATACTTTTTTATATGATATTAAGATTTGTATTGCATGATAGCTAACCATTATCGGGATGGATAGATGGATGCTGTGGAAGAGGGACGACCACAGAGAGAACAAAAACAGTTTTAAAAATATATAATTATATTAATGACCGATTCGTACACACAAAAATACTTGAAAAAAAATAAAGTAATAGTTCTTTTAATGCGTGGAGGAGATTGTATATAGCCTGAATTGCGTTAAATATTCACCACGTTTTTTTATATTTGCTAATCTCCAAAAAGCTTCGTTGCAATAAAGATGAACGTATCATCGTAATAAAAACACCCAAAAGATATGAAAATAAATTCCACGCAAAATTTGCTGAACGTTAAACTAAAAAAATAGAGAAAAAAAGGAAGACAACCATTTTTTTTTTAAATGTAACGAGAATATAAAAAAAATGGTACGGAGAAAAAGAGGCTTAATTGAACCTTCTATATTTTCGTAGATTGATTTATAATTTTCATTTTGTGTAAATATAATAAAAAAACAGATTAACACGGGGTTGGTCTGTAACGATTTGCCCACAAAGGAAATGAGCCAATATGTAAGAACTGTGTGCTTAGCAAATCAACTTACCGTAAACTATTTCTTAGATACTACAAACTTTCTGGTCGCAAAACTTTCAGTTAAGTTCTTATTATATATTCAAAATTGGATCATCTAATGATAAAGAGAACATGATATGTTCTTATTTTGAATTTAGATTCAAGTTGGGAGAGAGATATTCACCAGAGTTTCTTCGATTTTCTAAAAAATGAAACTGAATCAAAAGAACGGTGAACTTCCGGATTATAATAAAAATCTTGTTATATATAATATGAAATTAAGAATCACTAATTGGAAAAATCGCCAAAAAAAACTTAATACTCTTCCAAGGTCATCAAAAAAACCATACACTTTTTGCTTACCAATTAAACCTTGTACTTTGTGTGATTAACCCATAAAACCTCGAACTTTTTAAAAATTCGTCGAAACCCTTCTGCAATGTGTCAGCTCAAACAAAAATGATGATGTGATAATAACATGATTTCTAAGTCATGCATTCATCATCATAATTATGTTATTCAAACAAAATTTAAATTAAATAATTTATTTATATTATTAATATATATACATACAAATTCATACATATATATATATATATTAAATATAAAATTATTTATAACTAATAAAATACATATATACATATTTATAATATATATATATTATAAATGATATTATAAATAATATATATACATATCATTTTTAAATATATTTTGTACATATATATATTAGTTATAATTATTTTTTATTTTAATATGCATATATATTCGTTGTATATGTATATGTTGCATATATAACTAACATATATACATATACATATTATTTTTAATAGATTATATGTATATATGTTAGTTATAATTACTTTTATTTTAATATGTATATTAATTGTATATATGTTGTATGTATAACTAATATATATATATATATATATATATATATATACATATATTTTTAATACATATTATATGTATATATGTTAGTTATAATTATTTTTATTTCAATATGTATATTATGTATATATATAAAATAAATTATAATTACTTTTGTTTTAATATATATGTAACATATATATTGTAGTTATGTGTATATATATTTTATTAATTACAAATAATTTTATTTATACATATATATGTATATATATTAATTTAAATAAATTACTTTATTTAAATTTTATTTGAAATGATGATGTGACATAATTATGGGCATTATATAAAAATATCATTACTTTGACTATGTCCTGAATTAATCATCCAATTTTTTTTTTTTGCTATGATAGGGCATAGATGGTAGTAAATTTGAATATTTCTTTGTAAATAGTTACCAAAGCATTCGTGTATTTAGGTCTAGTCCAAGTTACACAACATTTTTTTATGAGTACAAATGAATAATAAACAAAAAAAAAGATACCATTTTCTTATTCCTCTTTTCTTTTGGTACAAGAGAAAATATCCAATGTAATATACAAAAGAGGGGAGAGTGTACGTGTACGTGGCACCATTCAATTGTTAATCCCTAATTGCAACAGTGGGGTCTTTTAATTTAAATTTTAATTTGACCCATGAACGTACGTGGATACCTTCCACACTCTTCATGTCCTCTAATTTAATAACAAGACATTATTCATTTTTTTTTATAAAAACATTATTATTATTATTATTATACAGACTCATTTAGATTCGGAAATACACACATTTTTATTATTTTTTCTCAAATAAGAAATCAAGACAACATAGGATATGTAGGATTTCTCCACACATATAAAGATCATGATCTATCTATATGTATAGTTTGGTTCCCATGCTTTTGTTCAAAAGATTGTGCAATCAATCTTCTGTGTTCTTAGACCATCGGAGTTCATGTTTAAACGATTACGTTAGCACTCCGGATATATATATATATAACCATCCACAATTTTCCATACAAAAATTAGCCCGTGAACTCATGTGGAGCATCAGCCAACCGCACATCAAGCAAAATCCTTGGATTAATATATTGTTAATCAATTAGTATTGAATATTGATTGCCACATACCGTATTAGCCTAAACCCTTACCACTAACCATGGTTAGAAACTTAACCACATATACGCTTAAGCATAAACCCCCTATTCTCTTGCGCTATATATAATAGTAATACCAACTGCCCTTCACACTCTTCACGCTTACACAACATATACCCATCTACCAATTAATCAACACTAATCCCAATTTATAATCAAGCCTTTACATATAATCACACCACAGTTCCGTTTTTCTTCAAACTAATATCATGATGAAGCCCTTCATGATGATCAACCTGATCTTGTTTATCTTCTCCATCCTCTGCTGTGTCCTAATCCGTAATTTCACCACTCTCCTTCTCTTTGTCCTGTGTTCCCTCCCAACCCTTGTCCTGAACTGCTGGCTTGTCCCGGGAGGATTTGCATGGAGAAACTACACGACCAAGATGACGTCATGCGAACGTCGTGATGGGCCCGTGGGACTTCCCCTGCTGGGAACATTACCCCAAATGATGGGCTCACTGGCCCATCGAAAACTAGCCGTTATGGCATCGTCTTTGGGAGCTCAAAGGCTCATGCCCCTGAGCCTTGGCTCGACCAGGGTTGTCATTAGTAGCCACCCTGAGACAGCTAAAGAGATCCTTTGCAGCTCGAATTTTTCCGACCGACCGATCAAGGAATCAGCCCGGCTGCTCATGTTCGAGCGGGCTGTCGGATTCGCCCCCTCCGGAGATCACTGGCGACACCTCCGCCGTCTAGCCGCCACCCACTTGTTTTCTCCCAAGAAAATCTCAGCCCTAGAACCAATACGACACCGTTTAGCGGAAGAGATGGCGAGAAAGATCGAAGAGAGCAGTAAAATGCATGGTGTGGTCGAGCTTAGAGGGATTATACAGAAGGGGTCACTAGGGAACATGTTGGAGAGTTTGTTCGGATCATGTTTGAGTGAAGAACAGAAATACGAGTTGGGTTTGATGGTGAACGAAGGGTATGAGCTTATTACGAAGTTTAATTTGGAGGATCATTTCCCAATGGTGAGGTTTCTGGACATTTATGGTGTGAAAAGGAAGTGCCAAAATCTGGCAGTTAGGGTTCAGAGCCTTTTGGGTCAGATCTTGAAGGAGAGAAGAGAGGGTTCCCATGGTGATGATTTTCTCACTTCTTTGATCAGTTTGTCTGAAGAAGACCAGTTGGCTGATGCAGACGTCATCTCTGTTCTCTGGGTATGGAATCTCCCTTTGCTTACACATAAATATCTGCTTAATTATACACACACGCGTATGAGAACATATATGTACACGAGCATATATATATATATATTTGTTTATTTATACGTGCATGCGTGTGAATTTGTACGTGCAGTCGTCATTACATATACAGTAACATTAGTATTTCTTTGGTCACACATCGTAACTTGGTTAGTCTCTTTTATCTTAAATCTTATCGGTGATTATAATCACATCTTCCATAACCTAAATAATTTTTTGCATTATGAGGGTCTTTAAATATTTGTTAAACTGTTTTGCAGATTATAGGGAAAAAAAAATCTTGACCAGGTGAAATATGTTTTATTCAGAAAAGCGATATGGCACGTGTATGAGTATGAAAATATCATAGATGATATAAATAAATATGACAACGAACAAGTCAACTTTAATAGCCATAACCCACAAAAAATACATGACCGAAAATTTTGGATAAATCCTAGTTTTTTTTTTGAAATCCGTTATTTCACCGGACCAAAACTCGACTACATCTCCCAAAATATCAGAGAAATCCAGGTAAATATTTCTTCTCACGTTTGAGTTTGAACCTAAGATGAACCACTAATCCACCCGAATTTAGACCGGATAAATCCTAGTTTCGTACGCCTGTGACTATAAAATATAATATTTTTATTTAAATGGAATAATCTTCACGCCGTTACGTTGTTCAGGAGATGATGTTCCGAGGAACAGACACAGTGGCTATTCTTCTCGAGTGGATCATGGCGAGACTCGTACTTCATCAAGACGTCCAAGCAAATCTCCGCCGTGAGATCGTCACGTGCGTCGGCGACCACCGGCACGTGCGAGATTCCGACGTCCCAAAACTCCGTTACCTTCACGCCGTCGTCAAGGAAGTCCTCCGCCTCCACCCTCCGGGCCCGCTCCTCTCGTGGGCCCGCCTCGCCGTACACGACGTCCACGTGGACAAGTTCCTCGTGCCAGCTGGCACGACCGCGATGGTCAACATGTGGGCCATAACCCACGATCCAACTGTTTGGAAAAACCCATGGGCCTTTCGGCCCAGTAGATTTTTAGAAGACGACGACGTTTTGATAATGGGCTCGGATCTGAGGCTGGCTCCATTCGGGTCGGGTCGTCGGGTCTGTCCGGGAAAGGCATTGGGCCTGGCCACGGTTCATCTTTGGGTCGCTCGTCTTCTTCAGAGATTTGACTGGCTACCGGCTGAGCCCGTGGACCTGTCGGAAAATCTTAGGATGTCTCTCGAGATGAAGAAGCCTTTGAAATGCCAAGTGAGAACTCGCGTTCGTTACTAGCCTTTGTTATGAGCAGCGGTGAAGTGATTTTAATGAAAATAATAAAAATTATTATTACAATTATTGTATAAAAATTGTGTGACTTGTTTGTATCTGCGTTTTAAATAAATAAAAAAATTGGACTCTCTAATCAATTTGTTGACTTTGGTCAACGGAAGGATGCTTGCTTGGCTATTTCTTTTATATATTTTTTATTTGGGACAAACATGTTTACATGTGGACAGAAATGGTTTGGTTAAGACAGAAGGAAAACACTGCCAAGTGGCGTGACGTCACAACTCATGTGGTGTGTCACGAGCTCCTTATCAAAGAAAGATATTTTATCAGACAACACGAAATCATAGACGTACACGTGTCCTCGCGGATTCATGCATGGGGCCCCCAGCCAAATTCGCTTGGTAATCCAACGCCTGGGGCCTACTGTCGTTCAGATCCATTTTCGACCGTCCGATCGTGTACGAATCAGATCTCTCTTTTTCCACGCTTTGCGTTTTATATACTCAAGTCCCAACGTGACGACAGTTTCCGTCCAGTGTTCAGCGACTTACGCACAGAGTGAGAGAGAAACCCGGATTTCAGAATCAAATCTAAGAGCATAATTCGAATTCGAGATCTTGAACAATTCCGTCAAGTAGGTACGACGATTTCTTTTATGGGTTTCTCCGATTTCTTTGCGATTCCTCTGATCTAATCGCTCTTTTTGGGTTTGTCTCTTTGTCGGCGTTTGAAGATGGAGACGGCGAACAAGAACAAGGAGAAGGAGCTTGAGCTGAGGCATCTAGGTTTCGTGAGGATTGCGGCGATTCAGGCTCTGGTTTGCGTGTCAAATCTGTACGATTACGCTAAGCAGAACTCTGGTCCTCTGAAATCGGCTGTCGTAACAGTGGAAAGCGCTGTCACCTCCGTCGTCACTCCCGTCTACGACAAGTTTAAGGATGTCCCCGATACTCTCCTCCTCTTTCTCGACAACAAGGTAAGGATGCTCTCTCTCTCTCTCTCTCTCTCTCTCGGCTATGTGGGCTGGATTGATCTGTTAAAAGGGTATCATCAACTGAGGAGTTGAATAGATTGCGGTGTAATCAAGCTTGCCTGAGTTGAAACGTGGCTTTTGGTATTTGGAAACCAGACGGAGATTAAATTCAGCAGATCAGATGGGTTTTGTCTGAAGGGTTTAGTGTTTTGTCTGATGATGATCTATACTTCACAGGTAGACGAAGCTTCGCACAAGTTCGATAAGCATGCACCTCCACTGGCTAAGCAAGTGGTCAGCCAAGCAAACGTTTTGATCCACAGAGCCGCCGAAAAGGCTCAGAACTTGTTCAGAGAAGCTCAAACCGGAGGAGCAAAGGCGGCTTTCAGCTATGCAGCAATGGAGTACAAGAACTTCCTAGTGATCAACTCGGTTAGAGCATGGACTAAACTCAACCAGTACAAACCGATCCACAAAGTTTCCGACAAAGCCTTACCCATCGCTGCTCACTTGTCGGAGAAGTATAACCGCATCGTCAAGGACATGTCCCAGAAGGGTTACCCTATCATCGGCTACCTCCCATTGGTTCCAGTGGAGGACATTTCCAAGGCCTATAAAGAGGAAGATGCTGCGCCCAAGAAAGGAGATGCTGATGCCAAGAACTCGTGTTCTGATTCGGATTCTGATTGATGATGTTGTCTTGATATACGTTTGGAAAGTGTGGCTGCTCGCCTGGTTTGGTGGTTCTGTGTCTGGCCATGTCTCCTCGTGATTCTTAGGATGCTGCCAATGTGTAAATGATCGTAGGACCTGTGCCTTCTCCATTAAGGGCTTTGTAAAACTTCAGTGTGTGCTTGTTGGCAAGTCTTTCATTTCTTGGTTTGGTCATCTGGTAAATGTCCTCCCTCGCTTTCTTGTACCCTTTCATTCGGATCCTCCATCAACCTCGGAACAAGATTCTCCGCAAATTCCATTACCAAACTCAAACCCAGATACATTAACACGTTGCCCTGATATCCCCGGCTAGAACTCAACACAGCCTACAGCTTAAATACATCATTTTGCCCAAAACCAGTCAACAGATTCTTCCGGTTCGAGGAAAGAAGACTAGAGTCGTCCGCCTCCACGCTAATAAACACACCCAAGTTCATAGTTTCTCACAAGAGGGCTTGATTATTCCATGGAATTCAGAAAAACTAACAAACCTCTCGAACCGGTGCCGACTAGAAGAAGCCCCGCGATCAACGAGTACCACCAATACCATCAAAATTCCTAAAACGGAGAAACTGTTCCATAATACCACGTAATTACCAAAAGAGAAAACGGTACCAGATCCGGGAAATTCGACAAATGAATAGCTGACGAGGAAACATAATCGAGCGCGTAAAACTCGCCGGGTCGGAGATCGAGTGGTCAAAAATGTATCCGTAGGTAATTCTAATAACCACAAAGAATGGTAACGTGGAAAATGATGGAATAATGGTTAGGACACCAAATATATATAATATATGTATATATATATATATGTGTGTGTGTGTATTATAAATGAATGAAACAACAAAGACTGTTAGGCTAAATTTCATCATATAAATGTTTTACATAATGTACCGTTGAATTTATTGTAACAACATAATATTCTCTCTTATACCAAAAAAAAAACATAATATTCTCTCTCTTTTCTTCTTCTTTTTTTTTTTTTTGAGGATGCAAATTCTAGTCACTCCTTTATTTCTTTAGTATTTTCAAATGCTAGATAATCCTTGATTATGTAAAAAAAAGAACTATGAATACATATATTATATTTTTAATAATTTTCCAGTGATTTAAATTATAATTTTAAATTATGGCTTATGTGAGTGTGGGTGAAATTTTTAAACAAAAAAATACAGCCGCGAAATAAAGTAATATATTTTCTGTATAATTTTTTTAACATTAAAAAAAAAACACAATGGCAAGATAAAGCAACCGTACTTACGAGTAGACTGGCCCGTTCAGTCCTTATCTCAAAATAGGACAACGAAAAAAACTCATACACACAGATACATGGGATAAAATTTATAAAAAAATAATAATTTATAAAATAGTGAAAAATAATTTTTATATGCAAAGAAGAAGTTGTTTTAGGATATAAAGTATTTTCTAGAGGAATCGAGGTAAACAGAGCGAAGATAGAGGTTATTGAGAAGTTTCCACCGTCTGTAAACGTCAAAGGCATCCGTAATTTTCTAGGACATGCGGGATTTTATCGACGGTTCGTCAAGGACTTCTCCAAGATCTCTAGACCGCTTATCGAGCTATTGGCGAAAGATGTACCATTCAGGTTTATTGCAGAATGTTCTAAGGCCTTCTAGACTTTGAAGGCAGCTCTAATCTCACCACCGATCATACAGCTCCCCGATTGGACTCTACCGTTTGAGATGATGTGCGATGCTAGCGATATTATGCGGTTGGAGCGGTGCTGGACAGAAAAGGGATCACAAACACCACGCCATCTACTATGCGAGTCGGTTTATTTTTAAATTTATAAAATATGTTATTATAATATTTTATTAATTGGTATAAAACAATTCTGACCATTTTGATTTAAAAAATCAGTTTGAAAATTATAATGATAAATTTTATAAATTTAAAAATTATAATTATATATTTTTTGTAAATTTAGAAATAAATTTATTAAATAAAAAATATAGAAATTTATTCTGTATCATTTTCCAAGTTCAGTTTTACTCTATTATTATATATTTATAAAATGATTATAATATATGCTGCGAATGATTTGGACTAAAGCTGGGAATTCCAACAACTGACAATAAATGGGCCGGGCTAAATGACCACTCACTACTATCCAATTTTGACCATTCAATAAACACATGTAATTATTATCGGCCCCGAAAAAGGAGATTAGCGAAAAAGAGGGCAACCCAATTTTTTTTTTTTTTATTTAGATTATTAATTGCCATAAAGAAAAACACCCGAGTCAATATTTGTAGGTGCATCAATTTATTTTTACATCATGCTCTAACCTAAATGTGATTATTTTGGATCTCATTTTAGTTTTGATTTAATTATTTTTTTTTCAAATTTTTATTTTAAAAAACTATACCGATGAATTCTTTTTTAGATTTATGAGAAATACTTAAATTTCATAATTTGCTTTATCAAGGAGTTTAATTATGTATTTTTTTATTGGAATTATTTTTATTTTGTATATTCAGATCCGCATAACCAACCATATTTATCTTGTGGGAATAATGTCTTCACATTCCATCTTTAAAAAAATAAATAAGCCAGATGAAGATTGATTAGTATTTGTATAAAGTTATGAAACAAAAAGTAGAAATCTTAAATCGCGGAGAATCCAATATTTGAAACTTTTTGTTGGGAATTAGAATCATAGGGTTAGGTTAATCTCTTTCTAATTATCTTTTAATTTTTGTTTTTTGTGGATGATTTTGCTTTATCTTTTGCTTTCATAATTATCCAATTTGTTGCCCATCATTTTTTGTTTGCTTTACCCATTAAGCTTTAAATAAGAAATACGGTTAGAATTAATCGAAGAACGATTTTCATGTGATTATCGGAATGTATATAATCAAAATTTGACTAATCTTTATTTGATTTGTAATGAGATTTTTGGAAGGCTCCCAAAATTAATTAGGAAAGAGAAAGAAAAATAAAGGGGGGACGAGAGACACATGAAAAAGCCTTAATGGGTCCGACACACCATGATGTTCTGTCACCCATTAACCTCTTTAATCCGTTTCTTTAAACCCCCTCTAACCATATATCTAAACCAATTACGCTTTTAATTAATGCCCTAATCTCAAGTTCTAAGATACATATTCATGTGCGTGTAGTGTATGCATGCGTGCTGTACGGACGATATGGGCACCTAATTTTGTCTTCTACTCTTTCTCATTGATTCACAAGTATGAATTGTCGCTTTTCCTTGTTTGTAAATTCGAATTTTCACCGGGAATTAAATCCTTTTAATTAATCGATGAAATTTAAAAAGAAAATAGAAGTGAAATCAAGAAAAATAGGATTTTTTTTTATACCATCTCTATACATTCGACTGGGATTAAAAAAAAACTCAACGCCGTCTAACGATTTCTCGATGTAATTTTTTTTAACTTCACCTTTTCAGGGGGAAAAAGGACCTACCGTGAAAATCTTCCCGTCTCTTAACGTTTCTACCGTTGGCCGTCACTGTTACCGTTAACTCATGGGGATAACGCCGTCGTCACCGTTAAATTCTCCGTTTCCCTGAAAGTTGCCGATACCGTCACCACCACCGTCGCCGTCTTCCTCGAGCCACCGCTCCATGGGAGCACACTCGGCCTTGTGGCGGAGTTTCCAGTCAAGGGCCTGGCAGGCGCGTGAGCAGTAGTTCACGGCGCCGCAGATGGAGCATCGCCGGAACTCATGCTTCCTCGTCTCCGGCCTTCCGCATCCGCCGTGCGAGCACAGCCTCAGCCCATTTCCGGGCGATCCACCTCCGCCGCCGCGCTCGGCGATCCACTCCGCCAGGAATCTGTTGGCCGGATGGACCTCCGGCGCTGGCACATTACACCCGAAATCGCTCAGCAACGGGCTTGAACTCAGCACCGCCGTGGCCCCGCCGTGGTGCGACCAAGTGAGCCACGACCTAGTGGGGAAGACACCGGAGGAAGAGAGAACGGCGGCGAGCTCGCGTGCGTTGGCTCGGACGAGGAAGCGTCGGCCCTCGGCGGTGTTCTGGGGGACGCCGTAGCCGTCTTGGAGGCAGTGGCCGAGCTCGCGGAGAACCTTCTATATTTTCGTAGATTGATTTATAATTTTCATTTTGTGTAAATATAATAAAAAAACAGATTAACACGGGGTTGGTCTGTAACGATTTGCCCACAAAGGAAATGAGCCAATATGTAAGAACTGTGTGCTTAGCAAATCAACTTACCGTAAACTATTTCTTAGATACTACAAACTTTCTGGTTCGTTCTTGGATCCGCCGCTTCCGTTAAACTGAATCACGGCGAGGGAGTATAACGCCGGCGCGTGAGATTTAATCGCCGCCCTGGCCATAAGGGAAGCGCCGCTCCCTCTGTTTTGGAGGCAGTAAAACCGAATCTGCCCATGGAAAAAGAGAGAGAATGAGAAATTACTTTAGGAGAAAATTTTGAAACTTTGATCAGCAATGAGGTTTGACTCACCATGCCCAGAATGTAACAAGCTTCCACGCTTCCGGCATCGGCGCATCGTCGCAGGAACCGGTCGGCAGATTCCGACCAGTATTTTGCTCTGACGGCAAGAGCTTTCGGAGAAACTTTCGACAGCACCGGTGAATTCAAAGCTAACCCGTTTAATCTCTTGCATCTATTCCCGCGAAACACAAAAAAAAAGGCAGAGATCAATAAACGGTGTTTCTCCCAAGAAAACGAACCGTCGCGGAGGATAGCCGGAAAGCTTACGTCATCAAGACGTTGATGAAATCGGCGGGACAACGGGCAGTGGAGCTAAGTTTACAGAGGATACAGACGACGAGATCGTCGGGGATCGAACCGAACAAATCCGCTCCTCGACCTTCTCCGGCGGCCGCCGCCGAGGAAGAGGACGACAAACCCGACTGACATCGCCGCCTTTTCCGGCAATCTCCGGCGCCGGAGACAGACCTTTTAATCTTTCTGCTACAACTCATCACGACATCCACCATATCCACCTCTCTCTCCCCGATAACACACCCTCTTTTTCTCGTCCTCGTCTCTCTTGCTCTGTCTTCTTATCCTTTTATAAATATATCAAAGAGTAGTTGAATTGTAACTCTCTCTCTCGGCTACGTACGTACGTCTTTGTATATGTGTCAAATTACTGCAATACCCTTTTTTTGTCGTGACTCGCCGGTCAAACGTCGTTGACCCGCGACTGCTTCAGGCGATCTAAGAAACAGAGAGAGAGAGAGAGAGAGAGAGAGAGAGAGAGAGAGAGAGAGAGAGAGAGAGAGAGAGAAGAGGCTGCGAGGGAGAGTTGGGGACGTGGGCCTTGCTTTTATATCCATTTCCTGCAACGGTTGAAAAGAGTAAATTCGAGAAAACTAACTCCGGTTATTTTTTTTACCACGGTGAAAAATTTTGGGCCTCACTCACGTATCGTATTCACAACGGAATACCATATTAATCTCGAGATCTAGTCGCACAATATAATTTAACTGTCCTATAGAATCATCTCTAATTTAATTTGTAACAAAAATAATTTGGTGTTAAAGGGTAGTTTCGGAATAATTTCTAAGGTAAATATAAAGTGCAATTAGAGTTTATATGTGACACATTTAATTTGATAAAGATCGGAATAATGCATTCGATTTGATGAAATCTATAGACCAAGTGGGGAAAAGAAATTGAATTGGACTAACAAATTAAGAGAAACGCAATACCAAGCTAGAGATGGACTAAGATTGAGACGTAACTCTTATCATCTCGAAATCTATGAAAAGGAGGTGAAGTTAAACTTTTTAGACGATATATATTTTAGAGTTTTTGAAATCTAAAAAACAAAAAAAATATAATCAATTAAGTTTTTATAATTTTGTTTTCTTAAAAACCCATAAGACTACTTTAGTGAAAACTAATCCGTGTTAATTAGGCACTCTGCTTGAGATTGATTTCATGTCCTAATTAATTGGTAAAAACATAACATTCAATAAGAAGACACGCAAAATATTCTGAGAAATATGCGACAAATGTATCACCGCAAAAGGAATAGTAACGAGATAACAATTGGATCGGTAACAAAATAGAGAATTGAGCATTTTCTATATTAGTAGTTGCCAATGTTTTTTTTTTTTTGGTGATGATTAGGAAATGAAATCTTTTCATGCCTATTTTGGAACTAAACAATACGAATATTTACAATAAAATATGAAAACAGTTTAATGGAAAGAATTAGCAAATATCGATGTAGCCGTTAATTTTAATTTATAAACGAAAGACAATTTTAAAAGATAACCAAACAATATCACTACATGCCATTAGAAATATAATTTTGATATCTACTAATAGTGTCATTTTCATAAATATAGAAAGTATGAACAAAACAATATCACTATATCAATAGAAATTAAAATTAAGATAAAAAATTAAATTTAAACTCCCGCTCAACCATATCTATTTAAGAAAATTATTCTATAGAAGGATATATTTGTATTTTTAAAATCTATAATTACGGTTAAATGGAATATAATCTTTAAACATATGACAAAGGTAAATCATCGAAACAGTGATATTTTAAATTCCGACTCTACTCAAAAATCAGTTTAAATCACAACAAAATTTTAAAAAAAAATTGTAGAAAACTTTTGTTTCTAATTTTATGTGTTTTGAAAATAAAAATGAAAACTCTATTTAATAGAGAATAAAAAGGATATGAAAGGTTAAAAGAGTGTATAAAGATTTAATAGAGAAAATAGAATAATATATAATAAAGACAATTCACATCCAATTGAGAAAGTGTGTGATCATGTAAAAGATAGAGATTAAAAAAAAACTTATCTCATTTTCTATTTATTTTTAATAAACGCAACACTAATTATATACATATATATATATATATATATATATATATTCGGCAGCCTTGGGGCTTAGGGTACGTAAAAGTAAAACGAGGTGCCGTAGAAGATCCAACGATTCACATTTGGCACATCAAATTAACAGCGACGTTTTCTTTCGCAACGTTAATTTTTCGGCGGCTATGACTCTTACGACCCACTTGGATTATTTACCCTTTTATTTATTTATTTATTTTCGATTTGTTATAAAAGGGAAAAAACGAAAACATGAAAAATAAAAAAAAAATTACCTTTCCCAAAAGAAATATCTCCCCCATTACCTGTGGTGCTTTATTGGAAAAGCCAACATCCCACGCCGAACCGCAAAATATTATGTTTTTAGTTTGCCTTTATACCATCAACGTATGTGTATCTACATACGTATGTGTGTATATATAAACGTATATACTTACCGACACATATTTGGTAAGGTTGGATAGAGATTATGATCGATATATAAGAAGGGTTATTTTTTTATAATTCGAAAATTTATTGGATTTTCGATACAATTATATCTCACGAAATAGTGAAGAAATATATAAGTGAATATCTCCTCCCAAACCTTTTTTTTTTGTTATGATGGGAAATCCCTATCATACAATCATTCGGGTCAGACACTGGACACCTCAACGCCTCTCAGCCCATGGATCAGACGAGAACGGCATCAAGACAGCATCGCAGACCTGAAAAACCCCGGGATAAAAATCCGGGATTTAAATATCTCTCCAAACTTGGATTTAAATCCGGGATAAGAATATATATTTTTTTATCATTAGAACATCAAATTTTGGTTTTTTTTATAACGGAGGATTCCTATCTGCTACCCTTCGGGTGCGCTGACTTGGGAAACATCCGGCCCGGGAGCAGCTTTTGTATATGGATCATATAAACCCAGAAATTATCTCCCTCTCCACCAGTAAGGAATCAGACACTCAACCTCAAGGTGAAGTTACCTCCTACCCCAAATTTGACTACTCGCCTACAATCTGTTGGGTACGTCAAAGTTATATCGATGCACACAAAGAAAATATGACAGAGAGTTTCATTAATTTTTGAAAAAAAAATAGAATTCTAAAATCCCAACAGATGCAGATTACTGTTGACGTGGTAAATGATTATGATTTACGTAATTAAGACGTTAATTATTGATTATGCATGTAATCGTTCTTTAGTTTGCTTAGATGCATGGTTAAGCTAGTTGATTGAGTCAATGAAAATAGTAACCTTGGATCGATATATATGCATACGTAGATAATTCTTTCTCATATTTTATAAATAAATTTTTATCATTTGAAGTAATGATTTTTCATACCTGATAAGATGGATGGGTGAACGTGGATCTCAAAGATCGACGATAACCGGTCATCTGAGATGCCAGTGGGATCCTTTGAGACTCTTCCAAGAGTCAGAAATACGTACTCCTTTAATACATATTTAATTTTTCAAATATCTTTAAAATGAAAAAAAAACAAATATATTTCCTAAAATCCATTATTCTCATCAAAATATATAAATAATAATCAATAAAAAAATTTAATATAAGAAAAATAATAAATATTTTATTTGAAATATAATAATTATTAAAATTACTTCTTAACCAAAATAAATTATCTCATATTAGTTAGTATTTTAGATAAGAGAAAATATATCTTCATTTTTTACATCCATATTTTTATCTTCTTCTACTTTCCCAACTTTATTTTTTATTTTACTTTTTTTTGGCCTTTCATCCATATTTTTATCGACAAGATAAAATGTAAACAATATCGTATGAAACATGATCGGATTGGTTTAATCGTGAAAACACGTTAGATAAATAAAAATTACGCCTTAAACGATATAATACAAACTTTATATATATATATATATATATATATACACACTATTGGAAAAAGCTAAACAAAATCTTATTTTATTGATATGTACTCTATATAGTTTTTAGAATTAAATTAAACAATTATGGGCGTAAAAACCAAAATTGTCACCCATTAAACGATTTCGTACGACAATAACAAATTTAATATCAATACTAAACGATTAAAAAAAAGGAAAGTAGAAGAATACTATTCAAATTTGTTAAAATAAAATCCGAACTAATTTTTTTGCCAAATAAATCTCGAATTCCCGTAAATTCTAGTGTTTTCTACAAATAAAACCGAATTTTTAAAATAATGTCATGTTTAACCCGAATTTTGAATGATATATACACTTATAATTATAATTATATGAGCAGACATTGATTTGACATTAGTTTGTGCACAAGCAGGTTACGTCTCAATTGATGATTTCTGTGTAAACAAATTTATTTTATTTTGTATAGTTGACCTCGATATTAATAATTTCATGTTTATAAGATGGACCGACTGTACATGTTTCGAAACTTTAGTAGTTAGTTACTTTACTTAAAAGATGGGGAATTTAGATATTCGCCACAAAAAATTATATATTTATTTTATTTTCTCGTTTTTTTTTTTGCATTCGTGATCTTTATCCACCATTCCATAAAGTCAAAGCGGCTAAGCACAACTGCATTCTATGCTCACCATGTTCTTGATACCTCTAAATTATTCCATTTTGCAGTTAGTATGAATATTTATTTCAAATATGTTATATGAACTGACACGGATGTTACAGTCGATGAAATAAATTTGCAGATCAAATAATGTTTAACTGTAAATCATTTTGATTTGTAGTGTCTGATTCAATTTAAATTATATTAAAATATAAATATTTATTCGATTTAAGTTGATACTGTGTCGAATTGAGAAATTGTCTTAGAATAATTATTTGTATTCTTTCACAAATTAAATCGAATCATACTGAACTAAACCAGATTTGTACGCTAATATTTTTTTAAATCACACATTTGTATTGAACCCAAGCATTTTTTTCTTCTGTGAAATCATATGAACAATTGTTTGTGATCGATGAAATCATCAAAAGATTAGTCTAAAGAGATTACGTAAACTTTATTTAATAAAGAAATCGATGAATAATGGGTAATTTGATTAATCAAATTGAAAATACGACGTCCACTCGACAGGATATGTCTTCGGGCCCTCTAATATTAATTACTATTATTATTAAATTTTTTTTTTTGGCAAATAAGGATCCTCCACTCGTTTCTAATTATAGATACCATATTAAGACCGACGAAATGAAAACGTTACATGAACTTAAAATGGGCATAATCTCCACGTCTAACATGTAATGCAACAACGTTTGACCTAATTTCCAATTAAGCACAGTGTTTAATGAACCTAATCGGACATCTTCTAAGGATGTTCCAATCCGATCGAATCAAATAATTGTCGCATCAATTTAATTTGCGGCGGTCCCCATTTAGATCGGAATACGATTTTATGTCTCCCTACTTTCGT